TCGGACAAAATTCTTGCCTCCTAGAATTTTGACGAATTTCCTTTTAATTGGTGTTTTCATGTTTCTTTATCTAATACTTTAATAATAAAATATTTTTAAATATATTTTTTTCAGTTTTTACTTTGATTTATGAGTTTTTGATAATGTCTAGCAAAAGGTCTGCTATTTTAGAGTTGTTTCAGCAAGGAAAACGACAGTTCGTTTGCCGAATGTAACTCTCGGCAAACAGTGTATGATGCAATCTGCCGTTTCACAGAGCTTGGCAATAATGGTCGACGTCCAGGCAGTGGGTGAAAATGCACTGTAAACACTTCAAGGAATCGTAAGACCATCGAAAAGCGAGTCCAGAGAAATCCGAGGGTTTCCATGAGATAGATAGCTCATGACATCGGAATAAGTGACAGATCGGTGAGACGAATAGCAAAAACGGAGCTTGGACTGAAGCCTTACAAGTTGTGAAAAGTTCAGCTTCTCATTAAAAAAAAAAACTCGTATGGCCGAAAACTTTCGAGACAGGCCGCAAGTCAGCGTTGGGAGAGATTCTTTTTCACTGATGAGAAGCTCTTGACGGTTCAGCAAGTCCGTAACCCCCAAAACGACAGAATCTGGTGTGTGGACGCTCCAAGCACCTCGGCAATTGTTGAACATCTCCAACATCAAAAGTCGGCCGTGGTCTGGGGCGGAATATGTGCAAGTGGCAAAACACCTTTGGTTTTTGTGGAAAAGGGCGTTAAAATCAATCAAAAAGTGTACCAGAGGGACATTATTGAAGCTGTTGTACTTCCGTGGGACCAAAAGCACTTCGGAAAATGCAAATTGGACGCTTCAACAAAATTCTGCACCAGTTTGCAAAGCCAAAAATGCGCAATATTGGTGCAAGGCGAATTTTCCAGTCATGATATCATCTGAAGAATGACCACTCACTCACGGATTCTCAATCCCATGGATTACAGTGTATGGTACATTTTAGAGAGTCCAGGGCCTGCACTAAACCGCACAAAACTTTGGACTCTCTAAAGTAATATACTTCTGCGGGATTGGGGTATATTAAAGGTAAAAGACTTGAGGTGTCTCTCTCTCTCTCTCTCTCTCATTGTTGAAAATTTCTGCAAGCGCTTGCGCCTCTGCATTGCTGCAAACGGCGGTCACTTTGAAACCAATTAAATTTATTTATTAGTACGAGTGTACTCTTATTATTATTTGCTATATTTTGTTAATATTTCTTAATTTTTTATAATATTATATGAAGAATTGTTTGTCAGGGTTTTTTTTTCGCTGCACCCTGTATTAAAAAATTTCTCATATTTTAACAAAAAGTTTATAAGATCAAGTTCATTAAATCAGTATATTTTTCGGAATTATTTAATGTAATCATTTTACCTTGATAAAAAAAGCAGTTAAGCACATTTAAAAACGTTAGGATTGATTGCTGTCTGTTTAAAAATTATAAAAAATTTATAGCTTAAGATATCTGACTGCCCTATAAAATTGTGAATTTTGCCAAAAATTAACAAACTTTTTATGATTTTATTTTATATGTCATCTTATCAACTTTATAAAAATAACAAATTTATTATATTTTCCATTCACTAGAACAAAACTGCAAGTGTTATAGTAAAAACGGATGACACTACTTTAAGCACGATGTCATACTTTAAAATGCGTTTTACTCGAAAAGGTTCAAACGAGAACAGTGATTGCTCTAAAAGTTTTGAAAATAATTTGCTGAAATTTTGTGTGTGTGTTCTGTATAATATTTGTAGTGTTTTAACTTTCAGTTTTATCAACCATTGTTTTATTACAAAATTTACAGTCCCTTATGTGAATTAAATCACTGTTATCATTGAAATTGCTTAAAAAGCAATTTTATATAATAACTAAGATAAAGTGCTCTAGTTTCTGTAAAAACTAAAATATCTCTGAACCTGAAGGTCATTTAAAAATGAGTAGCAAAGCAGAACATCAAAATTGAAACACTGAAAAATTTTTCATAAACTTTTTGTACAGAATAGACCTTGTTTATGTAATTTTTTGTAGATTTCTACCAATTATTTCCCATTTAAGTAATAATAATTTATTTTTCTCTTCTTAATTTTAGCATTTTTTATCTTAAAATGTACTAAATAAATCTAAAAATCACTCAAAAAAATCCCCATATCTATTTTTTTAAAAAGAAAAAAATTGTCACAAGTAGTCGGATACCTTAATCTTTGGTAAATGGATTGAACTGAAGCGTAAGAAATTAAATTTAAAAGCAAAATGAGGTACAACACAACACTGATTTAAATATAAACACTTATAGTGAAAAATAGTAATACACTTATAGTAATTTTCCATTAGAATCCACTATCTAGAAAAGTCAGACCAGCGATAGAAAAGATTTAGTAGCCACCAGAAATTTAGTCAAATGAAATATTCGCTGTTTTGAGCACTTAAGGGATATCCTTTCTACTGTCAAAAGTATTCCCAAGATTAAAGGGTATGCCGCTAAAATAGAAATGTACATTTAAAGCACAGTTTTCCCAAAAGATAAACAATAATTTACTTCCGTCAAAGTAAGTTAATGTCATTATAAAATCCTTTCTATACGTATATGATATCAATGTATACGTAGAGACTCTTTATATTTCTGTTTTAATCAAGATAATCGTCAAGTGTTGAAATGAAATCTCTTTATCGCGACTGTACTCTGAATTATCATAATATCCGTTTATCTTTAATTATTTATGGGATTCAGGGGTGTTACATTTCTCTGGAGGTCTGAAAATATAAACAGTTTTCAAACAGGTATAATTCTTTTAAATTTAAAGTAAATCATTCGAATCTTTAACTCATTATTTATAAAGGAATGGGGCTTCAGAAAAGTATAAAATGCTTAAAATATAATTATAATTTTAAAAATTATAAGCATATGAAAATAATAAACTTTTCTATACGAAATATTTATTAAGTTTTACGTCACGCATGCTATTTTCTAAAATAGTAGCTTTAATTATATATACTAGCTATAAGTTAATTTATAAAGTTAAATGTATTCTTATTACACTATAGCTATTTTTATATAATAGAATAATAACTCACATATTTTAATAAATAAAAAAAACATTTTTAAAAATATTTTAAAGAATTGCAATATTTTACAAATATTTTGAAATACAAAAGATATATAATACTAAAATTAGGTAGGGTTTAAAGAGTATGATGCATTTTATAATTCTATAAAGTTTTATATATCAGAGGCTGTTATTTTAGAAAATAGCGTGCGCAACGCAAAAAAATACTTAATATTTATTACGGAATTTTCATATGCTTATATGTGTGCTTTTTAAAATTATTATTATATTTTAAACGTTTTATACTTTTCTGAAGCCCCATTCTTTTACAAATAATGTGTAAGAGATTCGAATCATTTAATTTAAATTTAAAAGAATTATACCTGTTTGAAAATTGTTTATGTTTTCAGACCTCTAGAGAAATTTAACACCCCTGAGACACCTTAAGGTGTAATATTTCAAAAATTTTAAAAAGTTAAGCTCACATATTTAAATTTATTAGATTTCATCTTCATCTGACTTGAATTAAAACTAGTTAAATATTAAAAAATAAAAGTAACATTAAAGATGTCTTCTCAAACCCCAATTTTGCAGTGCAATAGTATTCATCATTCTTTCTTTCAGAAATACAAATTTTTAAGATATTTTTTAAATATTTTTCTCAGATATAAATGTAAATGTAAAGGACTGAATTGATAGATTATTTGCTGCACTTAGGAAGTTTTACTCGTTTGAAATATTCTTTATTATCCCAAAATATTGTGAAAATTATATAAATGTAAATATTTTTTGAAAAATTAAAATTATTGATATTCTCGTGACTAATGGATGCGTTTGAGGTAATGAGAAATATGTTTGACCGTGTGAGCAAAATCACTTCTTAAAACAAAATTTAGAAACAATAAGTTGTCCATATTGGATGAATATCAATGGATGTGTTATATAAGAAGTGCTGAGTAAAGTCCAGGCCATTATTTTACCTTGAGGACGACGACGATGGATATCGTCTTGCATAGAGAGTCTAGATGTAGTAATATAAGTATGTGCTACTACGCCACTTTGGACAAACAATGTATTTAGCATCCCTATCTCAGAAACAGGAAGAAATGCGGTAGAAATAAATCACAAAAATGAGTACCCTCGATTAAGTAGTTTGTGCACAATTTTCAACATTCTTACACCTCGAAAAGTTTTAGTAAGAATAAATCATAGTTTTAAGAAATATAAGAAACACGCTTTTATAGTGAATCGAACTAAAAAGTAAAAAATAATTCTTAATATAAGAACAAAATGATTAACGAGAAAATTAATATCATTGTGGTAAAAGCGTGGGGTGCTTTGTACTACATTTTTAAACTAACTCTGATTTTTGGAACAGAGCTATTAAGAAATTATAACAATTAACATCGAGCACCCTACGCTCCTACCACAATGTGTGACATTCTTATATTAAGAATTTTTTTTTGAAGTTATACTTCTTTTGGGGCGTTAGAGAAATAGTATGAGGGTAAATTTTTATAATGCGCGCGCACACCGTCACGGATACGAAAATCCTTTGTCTAGAAATATACAGAACGGAACACAGATCATTGCCACCTTCGAAATTCTCAAAAAAATTATTTCTCTTCACTTCCCCTGAAAATGGTTGCACCCGGGTTTGAACCGGGAACTCCCGATCTGCAGACGAATGCTCTACCACTGAGCTATACTCCCTGTCGCAAAGAGCCTTTGCTTAGCGTTCCGTAAGAACGGATACAAAAATGCTTTGTCTAGAAATATGCAGAACGGGACAGATCTCTCCCACCTTCGACCCCCTCCCCATATTATTGGTCCTACTGTCCCTGTACGGAGGTGTTTAAATTTATTTAAATCGTGATTATCTCAGGTTTGGGTGGTCCGATTGACTGAAGGTTAGTATCGTTCAACTCTGCTCGTGACCGCCTTTCGTCCTTGGCCCAGCTTGCCCTTCAAAAGCCCTGCAATATTTTAATCTTGTTATGCCAAAGAAGTATAACTCCTTACGTGCGTACATAAGTACACACACACTTTTTTTACTTTTTAGTTCGATTCACTATAAAAGCGTGTTTCTTAGTTTTTGTAAACTATCATTTATCCATTGATGAATTAATCTGTTTTGTTTGTTTGGTGTATTTGTATTAACCATAGACGTTTTTGCTTTGGGGTTATAATTTAATCTTTTAGTCACCAAATCTGGAATTAGTAGCCAAATCTGGAAATGGCATCTAGAATTATTTGCCAAATCTCGAAATGGGAAATCATTAATCCTGATGATTCTGTTCAGAACAATGAAACAAAATTATTAAATTATTGTATTACCATCAGTCCTTGATAAGTGTGCTAGATTTGAAATTAATCTGACCTTTTAAAGTGGATAAAAATCGAGTTCAATGATTCCGTTACATACAGATGAAGCTAATAAAAGCGAGTTAAAAACAAAAGAATTATTATAAATCAAGAAAGACCTGTGTTTTAACGTTCAATATGCTCTCCCTAAGCGTATGCGCGCGTGTGCATCAAACTTGCACCAACACTGCAGGATCGTTTGAGTATCACTGATGCTTGTTCGAACATATCATTTGTTTTCCATGAAATCCGAAACAGAATTGATGTGTGCATTGTAGCTAACGGAGAACATACGAAACAGCAAAATAAAGGTCTCTGCTGATAAGCAGTTTTTCTCTTTTTCAATTCCTACTATTTGTTCACTCA